CATTTTGTGTACTTTGTAGACTTTGTCAGCGGAAGCAAACCATGTTGCCTTCAGTATTTAGTGTCGGAGAACCGCAGCCTTCTTTACAACGCCCACAATAGGGCTAAAGTGCCACCTGCTGTAAAACGAATGAAATGATTAGTTCAAGATTCGTTGACGACTCGTTCATTTTAGTGTTCGAGAGTCAAAGATTCGAATCAATAAAAAGAGTCGGTCTTCCCATCACTACTGAGATGACAGGAAACATCACGGTGGTGAACCTCACAACCACTGACCCACAGACCTGATCTGGAGATTAAGAATGACTCTACACCCACAGATAGATGTCGCTGTAAGTACGTTCTGGACAGGATTAGAGAATGGGTACATAAAAAACAAAAAAATCACACAAATTTATATTTAACGACTTTTATGTAAATTAATGAGTTAAATTAAATCCATACATAACCAGGTGATAAAAATAACACATACTCAGAAAAACAACAGGGATGTCAACAGGATGGCCTGATTTTAGCATAATTATGTAACATCGGTTACATAATTACTCAATATGCTGGAATAGTTTTAAAAAATATTTTGTACAATAAAAATAGGTAACGTGTTGATTTCACCACAGAAAATAAGTGGTGCAACCTAAAAATAGTTTTAGGGGAAAATGGCCGCATCAGAAATTAATATTTGGACAATATTGGCAAAAAGTTAATATCGGGCATCCCTAAAAAAAAAACAGTAAACTGTTATAGTCAATGCCAGGGTGAATTTAACAGACAGGTGTTGTGACATCACACTCAACTCTTTAGATCCATGGTTTTGTTTTTGTAATCAAGACATGAACCACAATCACCAAATGGAAAATTAGTGGCATGACCAAAGAAAAGACTGATGTCAGAGAGACACAGAACCACTCGGATCAGTCCAGTCTGAACAGTGAAAAGAACTCACCACAAAGTCTTCTATCATCATGACTCCAGCAGTCCAGGTAGCAGAAAGAGGCCTTAAAATTCCCTTCAATGTAACGTGTGCTTGTAACGTCAGGTGAATGCTACACAGCGCAAAAATATGTTTCGCATTAGTAAAAAATAAGATTGTCCTCGTGATTTTCTCCGTCACTCACACGCACTCTTTGACCCCAAACACACACACGTTTTCTTTAAAGCTTTTGTTGAGCCACCAGCAGGGGGCGACTCTGAACCACATCGGTTGTAACTGCATTTGTAACGGCAGCAGTACAGCTGAGGTCTTCTCCTGAAGCGTCTCAACCATCTCTCCATCTCTGAGAACGTTTGTTTTTCACCCTTTATTCCCACTTTACTCCCTCGTTAATCTCGAAGTATTTTAGTATGTACACTACTGCTGTACACACACACGGACACATTTAATGCGTACAACGCACACAAGCAGACAAAACATGTAACACACAGTGAATTGGTAAACTGACAGAAAGGGAAGTGATAAACTGACGGTAGCAAACATTAAATAACTTTTTTTTTTTCTCTCCATAGAAAATGGTAAATAATCGTTTGTATTGCTTTGGCCTCTGTTGTGAGCCGACCTCGTTTTGGATGGAATACCACCAGATGCCCACTAGTCTGCACAGCCGCGTCGACTTCACAGCACAAAGGAGGAGGTCGTCACGTCATACATAAACCACCGTGTGTCCTCGTCCGTCCCTGTCGGCCTTTTCTCGGCAGCACATTAGCACCCGAAAGTATCTTTTTGTGCAGCAAAATCTATGTCTTCTTGGTCCCATTTGCCCGGGGACAGGCACTCTTCAGTGTTGAAGTCCTGAGGGTTCACCCCAATGTCCAGGACCTGGGGGTTAGTGCGAGACTCAGCGAGTCTGTGGGGGGGAGAAGAAGACAGTGGTTGGTTAGGAGCAGCTTTGGTAATCAGTGCCATTGATTTCTCTTGATGGACAATGGAGGCAAAAACAAAAACAGTGACGGACACACAAGGACTAGGACAGGGGTGGCCAACCAGCCAAAAGGCTAAGAGCCACAATTTTTACCGTGTTACTGCCGTGTAACTTCATGCGTACATCTTTTCATCAGTGCAGGTTTTCCCTAAGTAATTTGCGTCAACGCCCATCGCCATGAGATTCACATAGCGTAAAAAACACAAACATAAGATTCGACATGAACGTAAGAGCCGCATGTGGCCCCCGAGCCACAGGTTGGCCATGCCTGTACTAGGACGTCAACAGGTCCTCTGTGTGTAACAGAAATACAAATACTACCAAGTACCTGGTTTTAAAGAAGTTAGGAAAACGAATACGTCTTTATTGGGGATGTAACGATATGCTTCACTCGCGATACAATTCAGGATTATTTATTTATTTATTGCTCACCATAAGGTTTAACAATTTTTTAAACTACGTGAATTAAACTCCTGACAAACTGTGGTTGGTTTAATAGTGGTTCACAACCAACGTTTTTAGACGCATACCGCCACCTACTGTATTAGCGTGTGTAGTGTCATGTATGACAACGCGGCCTACTCCTCGTGCCTTTGATGCGATGTGAATTGCCACGCATTTGTAAACATTTTTTAGAAATTCACGATGCATCGTTACATACCAAGTCTAAAATGACTCATTAATCATGTTAATCATAATCATTTCAGACTAAGATTAAGGCAGTAATTCCCAAACATTTTATTGCCTCCTATTTCTCCCATTTCTAAAAAGGACTACTGTCGAGCCCCCAACCCTCTTATTAGTTAACGTAGCAGCGAATATTCCACTGCTGTAAAGACAGCATTTAGTGAAACAGGAAATCAGTTTCCATTCAACAGTGATGAAGCAGAGACATGTTGTGATGAAGATGTGGACACGCAGACTTCTCAGTCTCTGAGCCTCATCTGTGATGAATCACTCTGTGGAACAACAATGGACGTTCAGAGCTACACAGTGTTAGTGGGTTATGGCCAAGAATGAGAACAATGAGGGTACACGTCTGAATAAATCGGATTGGACGCTGACATCCATGTAGATGAGACGGCTTGGATGTTGAAGTTGACTGTGAACGAATGAGGTTGAAGTCACCACGTTATGTATGATGTCTTTACCTGAGTAGGATTCAAAGCTATCCAGACTGCGGCTGAGGAAAGTGCAAAGTCAGAAACATCAACAAGTCAGGCAACAGCTGCAGTCTGAATGATCTCAGCTAACTCACTTCAAATTAAATTTTATATATATATATAAAAAACAGCTTTAAGAAGAGTTCAGGTCTAGGAGCATGTGTTCAGTAAACTGCCTTCACACAGTAAACTGCCTTGGCTCAAGTGTGCGCTGCAAACTAGCGATGCTGTACTACCACTAGTGTCCAGCAGATGGCAGTGCAGCCTCACAAGACTAAATCGTCCACCCTAACAACCGGGAGACGTTAAATGAGAAGAACTGTGAAGATCTAAAGTCACGTGTTACGGTGACTGTGTTCCTCCTCAACAAAGGAGAAATTAACATTTTCAAATCTAACTTTCCCAAAAGGTTAAACGGAAGTCTTTATTATGCTGCACCATCGTTTTGACTTCTTGAAGTTTTCTTCCCAAAAGGTTACTAAGACTAACCCAGGTTAACTGATGAACGCAGGATAGTCTGCAACCGCTAGGGGGCCCATCGACATACTGCTGAGCCTACTTTAATCTCAAGGACAATCATATACTGTCGAGAATGAGTCAGAGTCAGATCATTATGACGTCATTTGTTGACACAGCTAACGTTACTTAGCCGTTTACTGAAAACACAGCTGCACGTACAGCCAAGTGAGAGAGTTCAAACATGCAGTGTATACAGTACAGTGACTACACACTTGGTAAGTGGCTCTTGCCTTACAAAGAAAAGGTCAGGGGTTCGAGTCATTAAGTTCAATGGTCATTTTAAAATGACCATAAACATGAATGTGAGTGGATGTTTGTCACTGGTCCTGCCTTTATACACTGTCACCTTCATCATTTAGTTCAGAGTAGAGAAAAAAAAATTGAACGAGTCAGCGCTGACAAGAGAAGCAGATGGCAAGGAGTGTTTTTCAAAATAAAATATCAAGCAACCTAACATGAGTAAAAAAACAATCTAATTCAATCTCTTCATTCCTTCTATTTATGTGCGGCCTGATACTGGTCCACACCCATACAGTTGGACACCCCTGATATATTACACTCTTCTGTGCATGTTCCAAGTCCCTTCAGTAATCACAGAGTGGGAGATTAACAGCATTAAGGTGTAATTATAGTGTGTGTGCACACACACATTTCCAGCTGACGGTGTCGTCTGACTGTGCAGCCCGTGGAGCCAAATCTGAAGGTGAAGAAGCTGCTGTCAAATTAGCAGAGGTGATGAAGAAGGATCCAATAATGTGAGCCTAAAGGCGTTTTTATGGACGCCGTGAACGCAGAGGTGTCAGTTCACACAAACATCCATCAGGGGGAGCCAGAGGTTAGCTCGTTGTTGTCGGCAGAGCCTCAGGATTTTCAGCAGAGAAAACGAGCTATCATCCAATAACGTTAAAGTTATGAGACCCTGACTCCCCCCGCCCCCTCCCCCTATTTAACTACGACTACTACAACAAAATCACTTACTTTCCTGCAGTTTTACGGCATAAACACCAAGCAATTTGTCCCACGGCAGCTCTCAGCGGTAATCACCGGCTCACAGAGCTCATGAGGAATCAGCGTGTGGAGCAGAGATTATGTTGAACGGAGCCAACGAACGCTGCATGACTCAGGGTGGGGGGTGACGGCGCCAGGGCCGGTAAAGTGAGCCTGTCTCCTGTCTGTGAGAGTGCACCGGGGCGAGCCCAGTGGGGGGAGAGGCAGTGTTGGCAGTGAAGGCAGCCCAGGCTGCAGGTGGCCCACATGTGTGGGCTATGGGGTGGGGGCTAGGGGGCACAAATTCAACGTTGTTACTCACCTTGAAAACGCCTCGTCCAGACCATCCTCCAGCTCCTGCAGCAGAGACGACACACAGGTCAAATTCACACACCAGGGGAATACAGGTCAAACAGTACAGGTGTACCAGTCGACTGACCAGTGATCTAACCCTGGTCGTGTATATGGTTCAGAGGTTCCCAACCCGAGTGACCCCATTTTAAAATTACAAATTTTCAGCGACCCCAGAGGCAAAGTTTTTGCCGATATCGTCCCAACACTTAATTTCCGATGCTGATATAGTGGGGCAGTGGTGGCCTGGTGGTTAAAGATGTGCCACCTGCTCAATAAAGTCATAGGTTAAAGCAGTGTTTCTCAGTTATTTTCTGCCATGCACCCCCTAGGGGCACACCTCTGAATTAAAATACTCTTAAGTGTCTGGTAATATGTATTTATTTATCAGTACAAACCACTGTATGAGTTACTGCACCAGCATTCAGCAGACAATCCACTGATTATTAAAATAGATTTATAAAATGAGCTGAAATGCTGCCATCTAGTGACTGTCTAGTGTCTAAACATTTTTTAGTGTGTCTAGACATTTTTTAGACATTTTTCATATACAGCCGATTTTCTCCCAAACTATTTTTAGGGCACACATCATTTGACAAAACCCAGGCGTGGCTTAATCGGGTTTTCATTATCAAAGGAAAAAACAATAACGATTTTTAAAGATACTACATAATTATGCTAATATCGGGCCAATAATAATAATCGGGCATTGCTTTTTTGCTCAATTAACTAAACATTTTAAGCGACTCTGTTTGAATTCCAGGTGACCCCACTTCAGGTTGCGCCCCCAAGGTTGAAACACACTGATATAGAGTGTTTGTCTGTTGATTTCGGATTTCATTTCTCAGGAAAAGTTATTTTTTTGTAAGCGCTCTCATTTAAGACAAACATAAATCAGCAAAAATCGATTTCGGCATGTAACACCAGAAAATTAAAATCAGCAAAAAAAAAAAAAAGAGTCGGTGCTAAAATACTGCTCATTACTGAGTACCTCAAAAGTACCAGTTACTTCCTGCGACTGCTGTAAAAGCAGCAGCCTCTGGAGGTCTGACTGGTTGCTACAGTGTCGTGTGAACAAGTTCCCTTTTTCTATCTTATCCAGCCGGACCAGCTGAAGCCTGAGTCACGCCTCACCCATACTGTGTTGTTGTTCTCCGTGGCATGGTTGTGCACCACAGGGGGATCCGATTCCCCCTGCTTTGTTCCTGAGTGCTCCTGCGTCACGTTGGCTCCCTCAGCCAGGTCCAGAAGTTCTCCTGTGGCCACCTCTGCAACGTTAAAGGGAGAAGACGAGCTGTTAAAACAGGAACGACTTATTTTCACGTCGTATTTCAGCGTAGCTTCAGGACTGTAGTCGATTCAATAGTGGCTCAAAAATTCACTGGGATCAAAATATTAAATTCAAAGGATCAAAATATTTATTCACCAAACAAAAAAGGTTACCGTATTTTCTGGACTATAAGTCCCACTTTTTTCATCCTTTGGCTGGGTTTGTGACATATATATTAAAATACACCATTTCACGTGTTTGTTATTTTCACACTAACAGCCGCTGGAGGGCACTGGTGCGACTTATACTCCGGAAAATACGATAGTCATAGTACAGTGCACTGCTAAATCAACGATAACAACTGGAATTAAAGATCAACAAAAATACGCCAACCCACGCTCACCCCCTCTTTTCCTCTCTCTCAACCAAAAGGAAGCAACAGGTGAACACAGGTGCTGGATCCCAGCTATAATCATGTGACCTGCTGCCAATAACCAATAATAACATGACAACAAATGTGTACCAGCGAAGTGGGTCAACACCGAGTCTTTGGACTAATGTTGTCCACTGAGGACAGCGACTCATCGACGGCTCCTCCTACGTCCACAACACTCTGAAGCAGTGACCTGAGCACCGAGCCTTGAAGAGTCAGCATTCAAACGTACGACTCCGTCAAGTCAGAACTCCTGTGAACAAATTCTTCAAGTTACAGCTTAAAGGTAGAGTTCGCCGGAATTTGAGATTGTGATGAGAGGAACGGTGATCGTTATAAACAATGTCCAAATGTTTTCATCTGTTTGGTTTTTTGTCCTGTCGCTCATTAACTGTGTCAGACACATTACAGTAATTAGTACCACGAGTACCAACCCACACTAGTCTAGTCAGCGTGGGTTGTGCACACGACCATCATTTGAAAAAAAACATTTTTGTTATATTATAGAATGATGATTAATCGCGATTAATCTACAGCTAAATCAGACTTTCACAGGTTGTTATTCCTCAGTTTTTTACTTTATTTTAGTTTTTTGTGGAACGTGGAGGAGTAGTAAACAAACATTGGGGAGAATTTAGTGAGTTTTAAGTATTTATTGGGTTTTAGAAAATATTTTGAAAAGTTAAACACTACCAATTAGTTACTGCGACATTCAGCTCTGTGAACGATGCAGTCGAAGTGAGTCCTGAAACCAGAGGAGAGCTGAGTCACCAACAATGTGACTTATCCTGAGAGTGGGGGGGGGGGGGGGGTAATATTGAATCAGTCACACTGAAGGGTACATAAATGTAACTCTATGACAGAGCTATAACAACTGTGAGGCTGGAAGTGAAGACCTCTGGGAGCGGGGTTTCAAACTAGCACTCTGATGACATCACACTACTGCAGTACTGGACAGGAAGTGGAATAGTCCCTCCAATGAGGACGGTTGTTGTCAGGTAATAAAACACTACGTTTCCAGGGTCACAGCCTCAGACAGCAGATTTAGACAGACCCCCCCTCCATGGGCACCTGGCTCCATGGCAGGAAGCTCTGGACGGAGCTAGTAATTTCAGATGTTGGAGTTGTCAAATGGAAAACCCCCAGAGAACGAAGGAGGAGGAAAGGATCGGCTGATGGAGGCTCAGCGATTGGCAGCAGAGTGATCCTGATCCTGATCCTGATCCTGATCCTGATCCTGATCACGTCTGAAGGTTTCCAGGCTCACTGAGGCGCTGTTTACACGGTGACGATACGGCTCTGGTGATCCTGGTGCTATAGCGCCGATTCATCCCGTTTCGACAAACGTGGAGTGTTGGGGCGCAGGACTTTGTCCTCACTGAGGTTTGAAAACTCTCTCTTCAAATATAATTTCACCAGGGGCCAGATTTTTCCGGCCCGATATCAGAATAATATGTGTTAGAATCATAATTGGTTTTTCCTCCGATTATGAAAACTGATAACACAACGCTTGGATTCAGCCGAATGATTTGTGACCTAAAATAGTTTTGGGGATAAACGGCTGTATAGTAAAATGAAGGTCACTAGATGGCAGCATTGCAGATAAATAAATCTATATAACCAGGCCTGTATCGGTATCAATAGCGACATTTCTCATATCGGAAAGAAGTTAATATCGGACATCTCTAATCGACCCACAGTATTTATTAAATCCTCAACCATTGAAAATGTCAGTGTGCACCGACCGCCCTCCGCCTCTGGGAGGAGAACCTTCACAGGTGGCTGAATAGCCCACCCCCCCTCCCCCCCCCCAGAGACAGAGCAGTGAGGGTGATGGAGGCAGAAGGGAGAGAATGTATAAAACATGGTGACTCACCCCCTCCCTTCAAGCTGCCCAGACTGGCCAGGCTCTCGGACTGGGAGGTACTGGCTCCTTCCCCGTCTGACCCCGCCTTCAGCCGCTTCTCTTTGTCTGTGCAGCGTAGATTGAAGCGAACGAAGGGAGACAAAAAGAAAGAGGGAGGAAAAAAAAAACAAATCAGTCAATGAAGAGGAGCGTGCTTTGAATTCTGCTTACAGCGAATCACTGAAGGAACTGCTTTGTCTGCTAGAAACTCACCAAGTGTGAAGTGAGTGTAAACAAATTAGTGAGAGCCAGAGGCTAACGAGGTTAAGACCGTGACTACAAACATCTGTGGACAGACACTGAGGACGTCTGTCTGGACGCCGTCATAACGTAAATGAGGAATACTTCTTGGAAGAGTTAACAAACTGTATTTGTGGTATTACTGTATTTGTGGTATTACTGTACTTGTTTACTGCGTTATTATCGACTGTGAATTTGATAGAAACCTACGACAGTTAAGACATTGAACCAAACATGGAAGAATCTGTGAAGTCGTTGGTGTGTAAGAAAATATCAATTGAAACATTGAAGTATTGCGATATTTTGGTTCACCATACTGTATCAATATTCTCCATCAGTGTACTGATTTTTTTAATCACCAACTACCAGTCAAATATTCCTGGTTTTGATGACTTGACAGATGACACTTTGACTACAGTTACATTGGGGGGAGAAAAACTATACATACATCACCGTCCCTATAGTATTGTTATTGTTGCCCCTGTATCGTGATACGTATCATATCGTCAGATTCTCGCTAATACACATCCCTAACCGATCTTGCTGGTGCAGCTCAACCGTGGAGTTGAGGACCAGGTGGACTGGGTTCTTGTCCTCAACAACAGTCATCAGTCTACAGACCTGAACAGACAATCTGACGGTGGTGTCAGTCAGACAGTCAGTCAGTCCTGGACTGACTGACTGTCCTGATCTCAGTCAGTCTGCTCTGACACAATCCAGGGCCGCTGACCAGAGGTTGGAGCACCCACAGACACAGGCTGGGAGTTGATGATGGGATGTTAAGATCCAGGAGATTCAGTGGAACTAGAACCGTTTTCCACAGTGTGTGAAAACAACAAACTGTGTATTGACCATTACAGACACGGCACCACAAGTGGACGGACAGTGGTACTGCAGACTTTTTGGTCTGGTTCAAGTCCAGGTCAACAAAACGTCAACCGCAGACACTCAGACTAAAACAGCGATGATGTCACACTACCCTGCGCTCAGGTAACTCAGTGATGGCAGGGTTATTCCCAGTGTCACTCTCCTGGCTTTTCCAGAGGGTGGCGCCGGTCCCAGTACAGTTAAGACATCGAGACAAACATGGAAGAATCTTTGAAGTCGTCCAAGTTGAAAACCCGCTGTGGTTTTTACAACTTTCCAAGAGATTTATGAAGGGAGTTGTACAATCTGGAGGAATGTGGTTCAGGAATGTGTGGTGGACCGTGGAGAACCACTGTGGAAGTTTGTGAAGGGAGTTCAGGGAAACCAGACGAATGTACAGTAGAACGCCGTTCAGACAGGGAGCTTTTACCCAATGCCATTTCTCCTGTCACTGCTTCAAAAAAGAAAAAACAAAAAGAAAAAAAAACACCAGTTCTTCCACATCAGTTGGTGAAGAACGGGAAGAGATGAGAAAATAACAAAATGAAGCAGACAGTGTGAAATTAAAGACTTAAAAGGTGGCATTCATTCAGTTTTTGGTTTTGTAGAAAATATTTTGCTTTAAAAATATAAATAGTTAAAACAGTTGAAATGTGTTGGGAACAAACGTAGCACCGTCTCACCTTCAGCGTTCTCCACAGGAGTCAATGACACCGAGACCTGACGCTCACACGATAACTCCATTTTTTCCCACTTTGCCCCGCCCCTCATCCTCTATTGCCACCTCCCTTCCTAAATCCACCCCCCCTTTCTCTGCTCACTCCTTATAATAAACTGATGCAAGTGGCACAACAAGGGGGGAGGAGAGGGAACAGAAAATGATGGGGGGGTGAGGGGGCTCCCCCCTCATGTACCGCAGCTCTAGAACCACACAGACAGAACGCAGGAATCTGACTGAATAAAAAAAATATACAAAATGAAAATATACAAACGAACTCCCTGTTTTCTCAGCTCTTAGGTCCTAAAATGAAACGCTCCTAACAGATAGCCGTGGCTAAGCTAGGTGTGTGTCAGTAAATAACTCCAACCCCAGTGTTCGATTAGGAAACAGATCGATGGAGACGTTCCTGCCGGAACATTCAAACGGCTGACATTGACCTTACAGCAGGGGTCACGGTCAAAACCAACATTTTTGAGATCAATTACATGAAAATTCATACTCGGAACTGAATCACTGTCCAGTTCTGGACACCATCGTATCAGGGGTGGAAAAAAAAATTCTGAGACTAGGATCACAATGAGGGGGGGGGGCAGAGTCTGAGACTAGGATCACACTGGGGGGGGGCAGAGTCTCAGACTAGGATCAGACTCAATTTATCGTGGCACCTATAGTATCGCAATGTATCGTATCGACGCCCCTGTATCGTGATACATATCATAAGTAATCTTACTACTCTACTACTACAACTACTACTACTCGATTTTAACAATAACTGTAAAAATGATTCTTACAGCTAAAGATGTAGCAACAGAAATTCTTTCAACCAATACCCATTATGATTTTTTTTTTTTTAATCGCAATATGTCGTTATTTTGTTGACCCTGTATCGTATTGGCAAGAATGTGGTAAAACAATACGTAACAGCGCCATATAGTATTCAGTCAGCAACACCAGTCAGGAAGGAGAGGAAATCATTCATCCATCCGTTACGTGGCGGACTTCAGGAGCGACCATGCGTACCTTCCTTGGCAGCCTGCCAGAATTCAAACGCCACTCTGAAAGCCTGCGCCACGGTCAGGGTCACTGCCTGGGCCTGTTGGAGGAGGCAGAGAGAGACAGACGGTCAGAGGCTGAAGGAACCCAAAGAACCCGACATTCAATCATCTGGTCACACAGGAAGGACAATAACAGGAAGTCCAGGTGCTTCGACCTGGGATGAAAACAGGAAGTGACCAGTGACACGGGGCACGGATCCACGGAGCCACTTCAGGAGGAGCAGAGGAGAAACCCACTGAGTTTATGACAACGTGTTTATTAAACTGGGAGGACACGTGACCTTTGAGCCAGAACTGAATTAGTGGGAGGAAGGAAGAGGAACCCTCCTCCTTCAAACCTCCAGGGATCGAGAGAATGTGAACTTGGGGAGGACAGCATCCACACCCTCCACCTTCTCACCCCTCGACTCTGTCTCTGTCTCTCTCTCTCTCTCTCTCTCTTACTAGTTTTTCTTGTTTCTTAAACATTTGCACGAAAAGTGTGACCGACAGCAGAGTTCTTTTCGCTGTTCCCAAAACTAACATCCACATGACTCACTTTTCTCACACTGGCAGCAGCAGCAGCAAGCCTTCAGAATTATTAGCACAAAAATATCTATATATAAGTCTATCATGGGGGGAGTGGTAATAGTTTGATTTAAAAAAAATACTAGTTTTTCAGTAGTGATGTGTAAATACATCAGTTTGACATGTTTAACAGTCGTAACTTTAAACGTTGTATTTTATAACAAAGTGTTAAAACAACAGGAGGTCCACTATTGGAGCATTTATCGGCTGGAAGCAATCTAGTTGCCTAGCAACCCCACAGTGATGACAAGACGTCAGAAAGTCACTGAAGTACTATAGCAGAATACCAGAATGACACCGTGTTGCCACAATTCATGGCTGTTTGAGACGAAAATAAAAAAAATGAAGATGAAAAAACTGTGACAATCAGGATTGACATGAGCTGAGGCTCAGGACCAGGTCAACAATGAGCAACCAACGACAAGAAGTGGCGGCAAATATTGCGATACTGCAGTGATGTGGTTGTACCTCATCAGGTGGTACAATGTCAGCAGCCACTGTAGCTGAAACTGTAACCAGTGAACTCAACTCTGTGTGTCAACCAGAGATCACGATGACAACTCTGCGTCTGAATCCTCAGAGCACCTCCTACTGCAGTGTTGTGTTTCCTGTGACATCATCAAAGTACTGAATAGAAATGATGACGAATGACTTTGTAAAGTCATTACCACAGTGGTACTTGGTACTGTTATCAGGACCAGGTGGTCTCTCTGAGTCACTGAAACCTCCACTTGGTTTTTAATTGTTGGATTTTATCAGTAAGGACGGCTGTAAGAAAATATTGATACATTGAAATATTACAATATTTCATTTCACAATACCTTATTAATACTATAGGCCAGACCTGGGCACAGAGGGCCGCTGTGGCTGAAGGGTTTTTTTCCAACCTGTCCAGAACACACTGACTGACCAATCAGCTGTCTGAAGACTCATGGCAGTTGATTAAATAAGTCAAGACAGGTGTGCTGCTGCTTGGTTGGAACAAAAACCTGCAGCCACTGCGGCCCTTTGTGGACCTAATTGCCCACCTCTGCTATAGGCCATTGGGAGGGGGGGGGGAATCAATATATTATCATGGCTACAGAATGGCAAAATATCATTGTTTTTGTTTTTTTTACTCACCATTTTCTTCTTGGTGCAGAGGAAGGCGTGACACTCCAAAGCCTCGTTGTGTTGGCTCTGGACGATGTAGGCGAACACTTTGTCGTGCATCTTGTCAGCTGTGCAGTAAGATATTCTGGACAAAAAGCACAAATTCACGCAAAGATTTAGACGCTGGATCCTCTGAAGCAGGGGTCCCAAACCCTCGGCCCATGGACCGGTTCTGGTCTGAGGGTCGTTTGGTACTTGGCCGCAGTGAAAGAATGAGTCATTTATTTTGTTTAAAGAGAATTCTAAATTCTGAAGGAAAATTCCTCTGATAACGGAAACCCGATAACACAAGGCCTGGGTTTCGCCAAATGATGTGCGCCCTGAAATTAGTTTTGGGGAAAAATGACGGTATGTGAAAGTGAAAGCCACTAGATGGCAGCATCACAGCTCATTTTATTAAACAATTGAAGTCCCAGCACCGAGTGGCTCACGACCATCGAACAGGTGACATAGTCAAACATGCATCCACCTCCTCCACAACACAGATGTGTGTTATATACAAAGTACTACAGCGATACCACAAGTATTTACTGTCTGTCCACAGCAGGGGTCGCCAACTATATTTGTCAAAGGACCAGATTTTTTTTTTAATAATAATAAAAAAAAATTTATATAGAGTTGTTATAATATTATATAATATTATAATATATATAGCTTTCATTTTGATCCTAACAATTTTGGAACCCAGTTTGGGACCAGGACTTCATGGTTCTGGGTATAGTTCTGTTATTTTATTTTGAAATTAGTTATTTTGAAATTAGTTATTAATATCTTCCCGTCTTTATTTCTAAAGGTTTACTTTAATTTTAGA